ATATATATATCTATATACAAATGGGGGACGGAGCAATCACATAATTAATAATAAGATATTTTGAATTTTTTTTAAAAATTCTACTAGTTTATATTTCTTTTTCTTTCTTTCTTTTTTTTTTTTTTTCTCTCAAATGAAGCAATCCTGCTGATTATCATTGTATTCAATCACAAATCACAGCTCAGGAACGAGTCACAGTCCAAATAAATACACCCAAAATATATATATATATATATGTATATATAAACATGGGGGACGGAGCAATCACATAATTAATAATAAGATATTTTGAATTTTAAAAAAAATTCTATTAGTTTATGTTTACACCTAAAATAAACCAGTATGATAAGGCCACGTGTCAAGGTAAAGCCCAATTATCAAGAAAATCAATAGGCTGGATTTGGGCTTATCAAGAAAATCAATAGGCTGGATTTGGGCTGGGCTAGTTTACAATTTAACGGCCCAGACGGATTTTCAAGAGGGTTGGATCTTAGGTGGCAGAAGATAAGATTGGATTTGGTAGTTTGAATTTGATTTAAAATGGGAAATTGAGGATTTTTAGGTAGTTATCTTTAAGGTTGTTGGAGATAAAGTTAAATAAAGATCAGATAACTATTAAGTAACTGCCAAACCTGCAACCGCACTACCAGATCATGGAGGAACAGTACCGAAGATCATGGAAAAGATCATGGAGGAGGTTACCAGCATCGAAGGGAACAAAAACAAAGAGAAGAGAACAGTTCAAGGCCTGCCCAGCACACACACAAACTGCCCAGAGTATGTTTTTCAACTTTCAGACTGCATTTTCCAGATTTCAGCAATAGTTTCCAGATTTTCCAAATCTTCCAGATTTTCCAAATCTTCCAGATTTTCCAGATTTGTTCATAGCCTTAGCCTAGGTTTTGTTCATCATATTTTCTCCCGCAAATTCCAATTAGGATTAGTTTTTTAAGCATTTGGAAGCAACTCAGCCTTCAAAACAGGTCTGCCCTTTTGATTCGGTTAGTTCTTCTTCTTTTTATGGATTTAGTTTTGTTATTCATTCATGTATATAGGTTGAACATTTTCTACCTTTGTTCTTTTGTTTCTGCACAATATCTAGACATGCAGTTTGTTTAATTTCAATTTCCAGATTTAAATTTATAAGTTTCCAGACTTTAATCATTTCATAGTTTCTTCTTCA